ACCCGATATATCTTACTTACATAAAGTAAGAATAGCGCATATATCTTATGCTTAAGAGTTTTACAATACTTTCTGTAGTAAGCTATGTGTACAAATGCTTACAGTAGATATAACATAGTTTTCTTTCTTTCTATCACGATAAAAGCGCTTCGGAAACAACTAGCCATCTCGCTCGACTTACGATACGATAGAGTACTTGATGTATTCGATATATCGATAAGATAGTAAAATATGTAATATAGCATTTTTGTAGAAGTCGCAGGATATTAATTAAATAAGTAACTATTTTGTAAACGAAGAAAGTCGAATAGGTGCCGCAAGACGTGCTATGCTGTTGGAAGGGAAAACCATATTTATGTGCGTGCACACTGCCCACGCGTCTTCCTAACTCGAGCTATTTTCATTAGATTGCGTTAATTATAATGATATCATATAATGAGAGATAACCTAACAAACGTAATATACGATCGGACTCACCGTTTGAACATTTTCGGGGTTGCCCTTCTTCTTCTCATAATCGGCAAATTTTCTCCAGTAACCGTAGCAATATGGATAACGCTCCAAGAATTTGGTGTAAGCTTCGCGTGCAGCCTCTGCATCGTTCTGTGACAAAAACAAAAATCAAATATTAATTCCAATTCATTTAAAAGACTTTAGTATATCATGTGGGATATTAACAGATATTTCTGTAATCATTTATCAAATACATTTTAATTTGATTTAATGTATTTTATATCAGATAAAGAAAACAAAAGAATAGAGGAATATCTATTACACTAAAGCAGCCAGAACTTGGAGTTTGTTCTTTTTGTTTCAATAAAACAATAAAGAGATGGAAGTGTTTAGCTTACAAGCTAAATTATTAGGTGAATATAAAAAAGAGGTGATAAAAAAATAAGAAAATAAAAAATGTATGGTAGACTGTATATAATAATATAAAGTAATAGATAAAAAGTAGAAAGATGGAGAGATAAAGTGTAAAGTTTTAATTTTAAATGAGGTGTATGGTAAAGAGAGAAATGGATACATGAATGAAGCAAGATATTTTTTGAATTAAATCTTTTTTTTAACTTTCTTTATATATGCTGAAGAGAATAAATTATACTTTACACGCACGCAAAAAATATTACATATAAAAAAAGAATAATTGATATAGACTGAATTCTGAGGAAAACTTTAAATTGCTTTTGAATAACGTTTTACTTACTTCTTGATCCACGTATTGTAAGAGATACGTCCATCCTGTAAAGTCAGATGGATCTTCATTAACGGCTTTCCAATATTTTTCTAACTCGGGCAACGTTTTCTTTTTCGGCGATGCTGGCTTTATTTCTTGCTTATCTCCCGTTTCTGTATCGCTCGACAAGGCGACTTTTTTTGCTGGTGCTTCGTCATTGTTCTCAGACGTCGGAGAACTGGGATCGTATTCTCCTTCCGCATTCAATTTACGTTTAGCTAAAAGTGTAAGGAACATGTGAAAAAACTGATTCTAGACTGCAATATTTTATAGGACATTGTAAGAGTGCGTTCACATCTTGACAGAAAAGCATAAAGTAAAAAAGTAGCAGCTAATCGTGCTAATAGTAAGCAGTATAAAAAGTCGAAATTGTCAATTACCAGCGCGAATTTTGATTGACTGTTGTTTTCGGCTTTCTCAAGGTGTAAATGCTCTCTAAAAAATGTACTTACTTCCGCCTTCCGCTTTGATTTTCTTTTCCGGCGTTTTTATTGACTTTGCCCCACTCTTTCTCTTCTTATCGCTGTCTGGCGGCAATTCATCTTCGGAAACAGACTCAGTTTCGCCCAAGTCTGCTGTAGCAGCAACCGGTAGTTCTTCGTCAGAAACTGCTTCGGTCTCTGGTTCCTATACATTTAAATCTATTTATATTCTCAATCTACAAATTAACTATTACATAAAATCTATTCAGCTAAACTTCTTTCGAGCATCTCCTTTTTTCTCCAATGTGGAAAAAAAAGAAAAAAATGACGGTGCAAATTCAGCTGAAAAGAATAAATCACATATATAAAAATCACGTATATAAAAAATAGAATGAATCAAATGCTTCTAACCTTGGCCGCAGCTTCAGTTGGTAATTCGTCCTCTGATACAGCCTCTGTATCAGGTTCAATTTTCTTCGTATCATCTTCAGTTATATATTCTTGCATTTCCTCAGTTTTTTCGTTTTCTTCATTTTCAACTACAGTTATTTCTATACGTGCTAGAGAATCACTCTGTGACACTTCCATTTCAGGTTCTTCTACCTTGTCCATCATTGTTTCTACTGTTCCTACTGTTTCTACATCTTCTGATATTTCTTGCTCATCAATTTCCATAACTTGAATCCTACCAGTATGCATAGACATATTCTCTGAATCTACCTCCTCTTCTTCTAAAATCTCTTGTGTCATTGTATTGTCATCTTCATTGATAACTTCTTGGAAATCTATCAACACGCGTTGTTGATTCGAATCATCATTACTGATGTCTTGACCTTCCATCTCGATGTCTCCATGTTCAGCCAGCATCTCAACTTTATCCATACTATTTTCTTCCATAATTATGCCCTCAGACCTTACATTGGAATGCTCCTAGATAAAATGAGTTTTATGAAATATAATATTATATAAAGTAATAAAAAAGTAATATAGTTTTTAGAAATTTAAACATCAACAAAAATAAGAAAAGATATTGCATAAATCACTTACTATTTCTTCTATATCTTGCTCCATTTCTTTGTTCTGATCCATATTCATTTCCTGTATATTAGCATCTTCGGAATCCTCTAATTGCAAATGCAATGTGGAAGTGTCTTCCACATTTGCTAAACGTTGAACTCCGTTCTCAGGCATACTTTCAATCATCTCCTCTTCCAACATAGATGTAGTCTCTTCCTGTAATAACAATTAGTCGTTTACTATTTTCTTATGATATTAATTTCCACCAACAACATAGATAATGAACTGTATGATTAATTTCAAAATGGTTGATAAAATTATGAGAAAGAGACTGTGGAAAACAGCTTCTATCTCTTTCCACTCAATGGTGTAATGAGAAAATGAAATGGAAACTGATCATCTTTCATGATATAATGCTGATTCTACAATAAGTCGGTAATCAGTAGTCTTAAGTCTTATCGGTAAAACTAACTTATACATATATAATTAACACTGATTAGCAAACTTTACCGATTAAGATTAAGACTTCTGATTACAGACTTATTGTAGAATCAGCTAATAGATAGTTAGATATGGATTGTACAGTCCATTCTCTATATATCTTTAATTTCCACAAACAAGTTATTCAAATAAATTATGATTTATGTTGCGTGTGATATAAATATTGAAAGTTATTATATAATATTTAATATTTCAAATCAAATAATCATTATCTTACATTATTGTTATTCTAATGAAATATATTAGATTAATAGCTTGTTCATTGTTCTATAGTTTCAAACATATGCATCAAAAGAAAGTAAACAGAAAGATAGCTTAATATTTAGCTACTTTTATATAGCTATTTTGCTTCAGTTTTATTACCAGACGATGAAGATCATGTTAATTGCTGATGACGTTAATCTATGTCAATGCAACCGGTTACAAAAGGTGCAATTTTTACCTCAACATCCTCTTGGTTTTTTTTGGACAAGCGTGTCGCCCGCTTCTTCACAGGTGGTTTCTTGGTTTTTCGAGCCTGACCCGACCTAGTGCGTCTCACTGAAAAAATCACAAATATTTATAATACTCCGGGTGTACAAGACGCCGTTTCATCGAAATGGCGGTCTCGTGGGTTGGGCTGCCGCGCCGGGCGGCACGTCCTTGGAGACAAACAACTCCTCGGCAACGACTTGATGATCGATCGAGGTGATCGACACATTTCCCGAAGCTTTTGTCTTTACCTGGTTCAGCTAAAACGACCTCGGCTTCATCACCGCTCGCTGAGGACATCGTGCTCTCGCTACAATTTCCGGAGTGTGTGAAGCGCAGAACCTCACAATTATCAGAGTTAAGACGAAAAATGGCGACGCTGGCCGCTGGCGACTGCTGGCGACGCAATACATTTGAACAGGGTTGCCAACGGTCGCGTTCAGCAGACTCAACTGTTGCGGAGCAGATCTGTGAGCGCTCGCTGCTATTGGTTGTTCTAAAAGAATATACCAATAACAGTGAGCGCTCACGGATTCGCTCCGCAACGGTTGAGCTGCTGAACGCAACCAATAGCAAAGCTCAATCGACACAATTATTCGCGCGCTCATTTTGTCGATTTTTAGAATTACAAACGTCGGCATTATAAAATCTATATTACCGATGATTAATAATAATTAAATACAGCGTAATATAATATGATATATATATATATTTGTTAATCTATATTACTTTCAGTATTACTTATTTTTTATGTGGTATATAATTAGTACTATAATATATTTACAGCTAATAATAAGAATAATTTGTTTAAATGACATACGTATTAATTTTATTATTTTATAATTTGTATTAATCTTTTTTACCACCATCCTCATATTACTCATACAATTGGCTTTTGTTTTTTTTTCTATTACAGTATTTTTTGTTAATGCAATTTACAGTTTTATGATTACTACTTAAACGCGAGATTCAATTAAATTACATTATAGCGTTGATGGAAAAAAGATAAGCTTCAACATAAAAATAATATTCTAAGGTAACTAAAAAATATAAACATATCAGGAGACGTGGTAGTGTTTCCGGCCGTGTTCAAAATATACATTTTCTGCATATTGTAATAAATAATATATATGTATATGTATCAAACGTTCTTTGTACACATATGTAAATTGTAGTATTTAAATACATAATCTACAAGCACATGATTTGATAATTTAAAACATAGCACATACAAAAATGTAAAGCAATAAGACGTAAACAATGAAGAAATTGTAACATTGAATTCGTTACTAGTCTTATAGTCTCTACTGTGATTGACAATTCGCTTACTGCTTATGTCTTACTGTCTTACGTTTTTGTATGTGCCATGAGATTTATATTGCAGCATTATAGAATAACAAGTCATAGTTTCAGTCTCTTGATGTCTTCCGGTCGAAAGTCTATTCTCAGAGAAGCGATACGTCGCACTTCTGACGGCGTTAATCGCCACGCTATCGCGTCTGCGCCGCAGTAATCGGCCAATTCCTCTATCTTCTCTATACTTAGAATAGTAGCAATCTGTGTTAAACGCGCAAATTTGTCTCTCACTGACCAAGACGTAGCAGCTGCCAAGTAACTGGCTAGCGATCTTATTTCCTTGTCTAATATCAGACCTCCTGCCTATAACATATAGATTTATTTCCAATATTACATTACACTAAATTAAATTTATGAGCAAAGTGGATGTTTATAAGAAATTAGATTAAAAAAACATTAAGAGATAAATATAAGTAATATAATTGATGCACGAACAAAATACTACACAATTAATTATCAGTAGAAATATAAATCATTTAATAGCAATAAGTTTCAACTTTTTTCGTAGTCAGTTTTTACTTACGATTACATACATGTAATCGTAAGTAAATCGCAACAATTACTATACAGTACTTATATTTGCCGTTTTTCTTTTTATTATGAGTTATATATACTTACTAATTAGATAATGCTATTCCAATAGAATTATTACTATTGTTGAAAGATTATAAAAAATTAATTTAAATCTAATATAAGTACCCGATTAAAAGTCGATTTTAAAACTACTTTTTCCAGACGAGCCGTAACTTCCGCAGTTAGAAGACCAATAAGTGCATCGTAATTAGAAGTTGTTAGACTATCCTTAAATCCTCGAAGTAGACCCTCTAGGTTTGTGATTAATGTCTGTACAAATGGCTCGTCCGTTTCGTATCTCAACAATTCGTCCTATATATAAATTCGTTATATATATTTAACTATTCGTTATATATATTTAAAAATACAAAATTTACTTATTTTTGCAGGATATACCTCATTAATATGATGATCAATGGACAAAAACGCATCGAGCCATGGAGTGACTCTGGGTTTTACGGCGCTGACACGTAACTGTTCCAAGCCACAATCGATAATACCTCGTAGTATCAATATAACTCCCTTTAGACTGGACAAACAACTGTCAATTTTGCCTCTATCCTTCTTTTGCATATTGGGAAATGTTGCATCTATCTCTGCACCAAGGCTTTTGCATAATGTTTCCACATATTCCGTACTCATATCGGTATTATTTAAGTATGCCTAAAGAAATAAATATGAATAATTATAAATATAAATATAATTATAAATATTCATATATTAAAACTGTTTGGTAATATACTAATGAGAAAATAGCATGTATAAAATCATAGATTAAAAAAAGTTTACCAGAAACATAAGACGGGCGCATTCTGTATCTGACGTTTGTAAACGACCATGCTGTATACTCGTCTGGAGAGCACTGTATGCTTGCGCTAGATCTAGGTAGCCCGCTGGATAACCCTGACGTAACCTGTTCCTTAATCTGTTTGCAAACTCGCCTTCCAAGATGCCGCAAGCCATATTAACGACAGCGCAAACACCATCTATACTCCAACTTGACATAGCTCGTCTGTGTAGACATTATATTCATTATAATTTTTATGATATACATATGTACATAAATCTGGCAATACATACCGTATGCATTTCTGTACTATGAAAAATACATCATCGACCATGCTGGAAGTTTGTTGATCCGGATCTAGTGTGTCCATTCCTAAAGCCTTATTTACACTCTCCTCGAGAAAATATCTTTCTAATGCAAGATAGGCGCCAAGCAGCTCTTGCATACCATGTGCCAATTCAGAATTGTTTATCATCATTTCAAATTCGTTAAGCAACTCTGTACGTTGTGTCTCATCAGTAGTACTGATCTCTATATCGTTCTGCAAAACAACATGAATCTATTGTTTGTTTCTTATGTATAATAGTCAAATAACTTCATACCTTAACTCTTCTCTTTAAGAAGCGTATATAAAGTTCTGCCCTCGAATGCATTATAGTAATTTCTCCCAAGAGGAGATCGAGTTCCTTAGGATCAAGCCTTTCAGGACTCGGTTTTCTCAAGTATTCATTTATCATTTGTACATTTTTGGATATACATCTATGTTTCGTGAATACAGCAACAATCTTCTTGACTTGCCTATTTGTAAAAAATATAAATTAATTTTTTTAAATACATAGAGAAGATCATCTATAATTTGATATATAGTTTATTGTATGTGTTATTCTTACCTATCACACTCCTTTTGTAAAATCGAAATTGTCATTAATAGTCGACCAGGGCCATAGTAAGTCTCAATGATCGGTTGATGCACTTCTATGATACGTGCAATCCCTTCGAATAAGAGAGTCATGGTGTCAGAAAAAATAACAGCTGCTCTCTTGTCATTACTTTTAATTTCTAGTGCTGCTTGTAGGTTCTTTTGTGCAGTCTCATGTAACTAATATAAAAAAATAAAAAATCAGAGTGTTATCTTCCCAATAACATTTTGGCAAATATAATTTTATACAATGTTATACTTTGGTGCACAAGTAACTGCAAAACTTCTTTAATCCTTCTAAATGCATTCCTAACAATGGAAATATCTTGAAAAATCTCTCGACAGATGCCAGATCCTCAGATTTCACAGCTTCATCAAATTTATGTGTGATGACGGTCCTCAATTCCATTGCAGCCTGTTGCAAAGTAACCAGGGAACTGCTAATACTAGTATGATCTCCTGACACATCTTTGGCTGTTCTTTCCAGTAATTTCTGGTCCATTGCTAAATAACGATGAACATGTGCAGCACCTTGCTCATAATCCTCATTACGCAATGCAGTCGCTACTCCTTCACTGCATAATTGCAAGTCTAATATATCATTTATTCTACTTTGACATTCACACACTCTGCTCTATAAAATAAAATTATAGCATTTAAGCACTTATAAAAAACTGAGAATTGTATGACTTATCTAAGAACATTTATATTTATAACATACTCTTGCTAAATCCAATTGTCTCACTTTAGCGCTAACATTTTCAGCTAATTCGTTGGTACAAGCAATCATATCACAAAACTTTTCTCCTTCTGTTCGTATTAGTACAACATTTGGCAATACTTTGCCAATATTTTGTAATTTTGCTTCCACATGACATCGTCGAATAAGAATTGTATCTAGATTTTTCTTTATAGAAACCTAAAAAATTACAATTTCCTTTCTATGAAATATACAGTAAAATTCATGTGAACCTCAATATATATAATGTTGTTTCTTCAGTAACACATGCAACGCAATAAAGCTAGAGAAAATATTAAAGAATTATAGAGAAATCTGGTATTTAATTCTAGAGAGATGTATCATAGAAAAATTTGTCACTTATAAATATTATGTAATCAAATATTAATGTGATTGCAATTCGAACCTCATCTTCAGACAACTTGTTTAATATTTGTTGCAAATTTTCTTCGTTCACCGGCAGATCCATAATAAGTAAGTCAATTAAATGAAGACGACTTTATCTTACTTTATAATGCTGAGGCACTTGATATTTCCCATACGTCAAGTATTATCACGCCTACGTTGTCACGTTTATCACATTTGTAAACAACGACAAGAACGAGATCTATAAAAAATCTGGTTGTGTTGGTCTATACATACATACAGAGAGGTTTGCCAAAAAATAAGTAAAGTTGGTACGACTTTTTAAATGCATTTTCATGGCGTAAAGCGGGGAGCACAGACTTTTGCATAACGCATAAACCATATACATAAAGAATTTGATTGGTCCACTGACTCATGCATAAGAAAATGGACCAATGAAATTCCTTATGCACATGCTTTATGCGTTATGCAAAAGTCTGTGCTCCCCGCTTAACCGGCTGCGGTTTTGGTCAAAGCGGACACAACTTCTGATTGATTCTTTACCTTGATCCATTCGGTATTCTTCGGATAGCTTCGTACATTGTCGGAAAATACAAGTTCGAAGATTAGCCTTTTCTCAAAAAGGTTAGAAACTGTTCCAAGATTTCGGGGATAAAGGATAAAGAAAATTAATAAATTACAATTGAATAATTCAGCCAATTGATTAACTCGATTGGTCAGTTTCTTCTCTGAGACTTCAGAGCAATTTTTAACATGGTGGACATAAGGTTTCATAATATATATATATATAATATAAAAAGATAAATTATATTTTTTATCACAGAATATTTATTTATCACAATACGAACACAAAAATTAATTTATATTTTATGAATGGAACAAATTATAAAATAATTATTATATAACATAAAAAGATTTTATATAAAATTTTTATGTAAGCGCAAACATAAAAACGCAATAAAAAACATATTTCTTTAAATAAATTTTTTCTTTCTTTTTATGTAACCTAATTCTTTGGTAACAAACTAGCGAATATTATTCTATAAAAACAGAAAATAATCTTTGAACATGCAAAACATTTTTTAATATTTTTTTTTTAAATTAAATAATTAAAATCAAATATCTTTTAATATTAGAAAGAATTGTGCATTGCCATAGATTTGCCGTTATAATATTTTTTTAATGTTAGACCTTGGTATTTCGTTTTAATTTTTAATCTGACTGAAGCAAATTTATTTAATAGTTTTTCACGTAATCTGTGACAATTTGGGATGTTGTTCGCTGGAATAAAATTAAATTATTAAAAACGTACGTAGATTGACATTACGCATTTGCGCAAAGAAACGTTTATAATGTCGAAAGATATTTTCTAGTATTAAAAACATTTTGAAAGTTTGCATTTTGCAGTCTTAGAGGCTACAGATGCTACACATTCGTGTAATACATGTTTTTGTAACGGAATAAACACAATATCCTGCAATATTGTATAAGCAATTAATCTCTTTATTATTGTATGTTACAATATTATAATTGAAATCAAAAGGAGGAATTTGATGCATGCTTGAAGTAGAAAATATTTCTTTACAATTTTTTGGTAAGTATTCTAAAAATCCGGAAAGATATTGACTATCTTCATTGTCATAATTTCCACTTGAAATAGATTTTATAAACATGGAAACAGCTATTATCTTTAAACAATTTTTAAATTGTACGCAATCAAGTATTACATTTTTTAGTCGAATTTGTGAGAACAAATTTTCAATACAATCCTGCATGAAACGAGATGTTAAAATAAATTGAAAATTACGTTCATTTAGTAGATAATGTGAAATTTTTCATATAGTTGAAATTATAAAACCTTTTTGCACTGGTTTAAATACATTATTTTTACCTATTTGAATACCACTAAAAAGATCGATCATTTCGTAAAGAAAAAAAATATTATCATTATAAATTGTTTGGTTTTTTTACCAAGTGCTAAAAACAAACATCTGGAAGTCATTAAGGAAAACCATTTTAAAACTTTTTTAACAAACCATGCTGTTGTATAATATTCAACTGTTTTATTTTCATCTGCTAAAAATTTTAGCGAACTACTAACATCAGTAGAAAAGACATTTTTCGCTTTAGTAACACGCATTTTATTAAAATTATCTGTATTTTTTATATCACTAATGCTTAACTTTGGTGTTAATAAAAATTCTAATCCATCTTGAGTTTTGATCAATTCATCAAAATGTTTTATTTCTACTATTCGTGATGATAATTTATATTTTAATACAAACTTATCCGGTAAAATGAAAAACTTATTATTAATTAAAGCTTGTTTTAGATTTTTTAATATATGTAGCACATCTGCAAAAAAATATAAAAATCGTCAAGAATTACAAGGATGTGGTATGCAATTAATAATTTCAGAATGGCGTCCTGCATTTATTCCACAAGCTTTCCAGACCCCCATATTATCTGGACCCATATCGGATGTTACATAATTTACATGTAAACCAATTACTTCAGCTCTCTGTATAATCTGAAATACGATATCTTTTAAAACTAGACTATTAAAGGAATCTCCTGTAAAATAATAACCTACGATAACCTAGTCGTTTCCAGCGACTAGCAGTGCCAACGAGTATGAATACTAATAAAGCATGTGTGGCATGTGTAACTGTATTTTGATCATTTGGAAATGTAATATTCCCTAAAATAGTATTTAACGATCAAGTATCAAAAACACGTTTTGACGTTATGCTCATTTCGTCAAATACTAATCCACACTCTTTATCTATTTCACTAAACTTTGATGCTTTCAATTTTAAAAAATCAAAAAGTTGTGTAGAAATACCACTCGGAAATTTAAAATTTTCTAACCTTCGTCGCAATGTCCGTAGACTAGGAAGTGGTATTTTTTGTTTACAAATCTCTTCATATCCAGCGACACCACAGGTAAATTTCAACCGAAGAGCTTGTTGAATGGTGTCAATTGACCATTTACGTATATTTTTTTTATTGGAAATCAGAAGTTCAATTTGATCTTCATGAAACAGCATTTGTAATGCTTCTTTGTATTTATCTTTTCTAGCATTATGCCATTGCAACTTTTTTCTTAATTTATATAAACTTTTATCTCGGTTTACAATCATCTTCTGCATTTTTTCAATTATTTTCTGTACCTATGAAAATATAATAATGTTATTATACTATTTACAAAAATTAATAGACTTAGAGATATTTTAAAGTTACTTTACAGACATTCTACATACGTTTGGAACAATTTCAAAATATTTAACATTAAGAAACTAATCTCAAGTAATTTTAAAATATGTCAAATTCAAACTTTTTATAAATATTAAATAACACAATCTATCCAAGAAAATATTATAAAGAAAACTTCACATATTTTAAATGCTTGATGTTATTGGAGTAGTTAAAATTCGATTATATTTACTTTCTTAATATCATGATGTTGATTAAATTTTATTTGATGAGTTGCAATTTGTGTTTCTTGTACCGAAGATGTTGAAGGTAACTCATTTCGAATGGCTAATACTGAAGATGGTTGTACTTCATTTTGAATGAAAGATGTTGAAGGTAACTTATCTTGCTCATTTTGAATGACAGTCATTGATCCTTCATTTTCAATTGAAAATTCCATTGGTAACTATTTTAATGAAAAGAAGGAAAAATCATTACATAATAGAACAAATAAATACATAATAATATATATAAATTTCTTAATATAATAATTAATATAACAATCAACAATATTTTCATAATAACGAAATTTACTTCTTCAGTTTTTTTTGAAATTGTTTTTTCGGTTATCCAGTGGCCAAAAATAATAGGCACAGCGTTTGGTTTTAATTTTGATTTTCCATCAGCTCGTTTTTCCCACATATCTTTGGGAAAATGAACCTTTAATAGAAAAGTGAGGTTAACTATATTATACTAATTTTTTACTATTGTTCTCCTAATTAGCAGAAAAAAATTCTTTATAATTTCTATCTTTATAAGTCCTTATAAATAAGATTTTAATCTCACCTCACATAAACGTGTATTATTTGTAGGTGTCCAATTTTTGACATTCATATTTTTAACCCACTGGTTTCGTTGCTCTATATTTCGTGGAAAAACTTTCAATATGTAACCTTTTTCTGACGAATTGTTACAAAAAGGAGCTGAACATCTGCCCATTTTTAATAAAAGTGTTTGTTTATAACATATCACCATATGACCTATTTTCTGACAGTGTCACGCTTTTTGCGCATGCGTAATACGAGAAAGAAAGCAATATCTGTTATTTCCTTCTATCCGCCATCTTTGGTCCGCTTTGACCAAACTCTAAAGCGGGGAGCACAGACTTTTGCATAACGCATAAAGCATGTGCATAAGGAATTTCATTGGCCTATTTTCTTATGCATGAGTCAATGGACTAATCAAATTCTTTATGTATATGATTTATGCGTTATGCAAAAGTCTGTGCTCCCCGCTTAAAGAGCCCCAACACACACTTTGCATCGGATTTGCCGAACGGATTTGCATTTTTTATACGATCACGCAGATACGTAGCCGGCTGCGCAGCTAATTCTAATCGTCTGCGTATCTACTGCGTATCTATTACCAAAAGAACGAAAATCTGCGCTACAATCGACTGTGCAGTTGTGCTAAAAGAACGGGCGCATTCAGCAGAAAAGAGCGCTACTAGAGCGCTCACTATTATTGGTATATTCTTCCAGATTAAAAATTCTGATTGGTTGATCTAGAAGAATACACCAATAACAGCGAGCGCTTTAGTAGCGCTCTTTTCTGCTGAATGCGCCCAACGAATCATTGCAAGAACTGCTGTATCCGATGCCTAAAAGAACGCACCCAGTATGTGCATAAGGAATTTCGTTGGCCCATTTTCTTAAGCCCATTCTACATTGGTCGCATCGTAGCATCGTAAGCGTCGTGAGACTTCTAATTGACACATCGGATTGGCTGTTGCAACAAATTTGTGACCTGCGACGTCTACGATACGGCCAATGTAGAATGGGCTTAAAATTTTGCTTCGTATCGATGATACGATTTTTCTAATAGGTTGCAGAGTCGTCGTACGACGAAAATCGGATGCAGGGTGAATCCAGCATAATGGTATTTTCGCTTTTATGAAAAAGCGGTAAATTATTTAATAACACGCACATTTTTATCGCAAACAAGTGTTGCTGCGTTCTGTGTGCAACAACTATATCAAATGGACAGCCCATAGTGGAAGAAACTCATGGGGGTTTTATATGATAGGTTGTTCCTTTCATCATGGGATAGCCTGCACGATTTTAGCCGCGGTTTGATTCATACTTGTAATGGCCTGGTTTACATCGTGCACTTGATACGCGTATCAGGTACTATATTCGTATCAAATTCGTATTATAAACATTTAGTACGCACGATGTAAACGCTGTCGGATTATTTTGGTACGAGCGTATCAAGCAGGAGTATCGTACTAAACTGATACGCGTATCAAATGATGCAAATGGCGATGTAAACGCATGAAACACATTTAATACGCTTTCAATTCTTTCACGATGTAAACCAGGCCAATGGCTCCGGCACACTAGACGTGGAAACGCTTGCCGCGTAGCAAAATGTGACACGATAGCCAATTGAACATGTTAGGAGCTGTAAGCTCATTGGCTACCGCGTCACATTGCCGCGTCCAGTGTGCGGGAGCCATAAGTTGGATTAATCCAACCTTACTTGCGACATCGTAAAAGAATCCGCCATAACTTTGCATTATAATGTTCTTTATTGCTTATTTACAGTATTTACACTGTATCTTCGCCCAGTTCTAGTTCAATTCCGTTTAATTCAGTTTAGTTAAGTTCTAGTGCTGCAATAAAAGACAAACCTAACAATCGATTCTCGGATTTTTTGTGAACAAAAGAATGTCATAACTCGCGCTGCTAGGGAACGTAGTGAATATTGCCGCGTATCTGTCCGCATCGGCTAATAATCGCGCTCCTGTTCGTACCACGTGACGTTACACGAATCGCATTCGTTGCGTCGCCGCAGTGGAAGGGGTCAGGAAGGAGGGTGGTCGCTGGTCGGGCTTCTTCGCACATCCCACAGTCCCATACGCGTATTATCGTACTGAAAATGGCTGCCAGCTGTCACTCGCTTGTGAAGTGTAGCTTGTTGTGAAGGAAGACGACGCGGATTCGTGACGGGACGGCTTCTCGAAGTGTTTTGAAACGCGCAGCACATCGTGGGGACGCGATGCACTTTTGTGACGACACACGGCTCGTTGGTTGAGATCACACGGGATTGTCGTGAGTGAGGGAAAAAGAGAGGGAACGAACGAGCGAGCGACAGGAGGTAGAGGAAAGAGAAAAAAAAGAGCGCGGGGAACGCGAGAATTCGAGAAAGTGTACGGCGCGACGGCGGCCCCTTGACGGTGTTGCTTCTATACGATTCCATGAGAGTGCGGATAGCTCAACTGTTTACAATTCCTATTTCACGTGAAGTACGTTGCTACTTGGCTAGTCTATTGCCCGCGCGATCGTGGTAACGCCGTAACGCGACAGAGTTCAGAGTCGTCCACCGCCGCCGCCTCCTCCTCCTTCTCCTCCTCCTCAACTTCGATCCGTTTGCGAATCGGTCTCGCAGTGGTCGCGGGGTTCTCCCGATATTCCTTGCTCCGCGATACAAGGCCTTCCCTTGGGATTTCTTTCGATTTACTTGTTTTACACTCTTCAGAACAATTAAGGTAAACTTTCATCAAATAGTAATAGATTCTAGATAACTTTTCAGATATCAAACGATCTCGTGTTACATTTTTTAAAAAACGATCGAGTCTAAAATGTATGTACATTTTTTTAATTTGAGTTTTTTTGTATGTAGTTTTCTATTAATATGTCAATGTTATGACTAATGTAAAATAAAAATGTGTTATAAATGTAATAGTTGCATATTGCTGATTTTTATTTTATTTGAAAGGTTTGCTGCAATGGTAACTCCGTAACAATATAGTCAAACATGTGATATCAATATTTTTCTCATCTATTTTTTATTCTATTAATTAATTATTGCTTAATTCTATTAATTATCTATTAATTTTAGAGTTCATTTATTCCATTTTTACAAAATGTTTTGTTAATCCATTGTTGCACACACAGCAAGTCTTCCAATTTATTTTATAAAATTTTATATATTTTTATTCAAATCAGCTATGATATATATTTTTATAGTATGAATATTATCCAGGTAATATGATATAAATTTATCTTTTTTTATATTTAAGGAATCAGGATGGGTTCCAGTCAACAGTTCTCTCTTAGATGGAATAATTATTTAAAACACATTACTTGTGCTTTTGAAACATTGAGGACAGCGGAAGATCTCGTGGATGTTACTTTAAGTTGTGAGGGCAAAAAAATCAGGGCACATAAAATGCTCTTGTCAGCATGTAGTACATACTTTAGAGATTTATTTAAGGTAAATGCACACATTTCTGTGATTGATTTATTATATATTTAAATTTAGAAACATTTTTGTAACAATTATTTATTATGTAGGAAAATCCATGTCAGCATCCCATCATAATATTCCGCAATGTAAAATTTGATGACTTGGCTGCCTTGGTCGATTTTATGTATCAAGGCGAAGTGAACGTTATTCAAGAACAGCTAGCGAGTTTTCTTACTACGGCAGAGCTCTTGGCAGTACAAGGTCTTACAGATGGCACAGGAAAGGACGACACTCTAGTAGAGGTGAGTTATTAGCATATAAAATAATTTTACATTTCAGAAATATTGATTCCAATAGAGAAGTAAATGAATGTGACTCGCATTTATTACTAGTTCTGATTGCTTAATAAAAGTTATGGTCTTTAACTCAGTTACAATTTTAATAGAAAGAGAATACAAATTCTTGCTCAATTTTGGAAACCTGGATTTGGTTTTTTTTTTTTTAGTTTAGTATTGTTATTACTTGAAAGTATTTTCTAGAAAATGATACTGTACTGCGATTTGTTTATCTCCAATTAATAGGATTAAATTCATATTTCGGGTATTTTATTTATATTTTGTGATGGAATATTTTTCCTACTAAAAAATCCTTAAAAAAATCCTCCTGTGCAACAATGCATTAACAAACATTTTGTGAAAATGGAATAAATGAACTCTAAAATTAATAAATAATTAATAGAATTAATTAATAGAATAAAAAATAGATGAGAAAAATATTGATATCACATGTTTGACTATATTGTTATGGAGTTACCATTGCAGTAAACCTTTCAAATAAAATAGAAATCAGCAATAGGATAATTTGTTATAGTATAGGATATGTAACCCGGCTTTTTGATAGATAATTACTTTAGCACTGAGTAATGTAGCATCTCATTATTTACGTGTCATTACTTTTTAGGATGACATAGAAATTCCCAACGAGCCTGAAGTTCAACTGCAGAATACTTCTGGTAAATCCACGGGAGATAATAAGAGGAATAAATCTCCATCGTCTCCGATGCCATACCATGCCGTCGAACTGCAACCTGAAGTGCCACCAAATAAAAGGAGAAAAATTCGAGAAAATACGAATGTAAACGCAGAAAAGAATTCGGCGGGGATCAACGCGAAGGATTCCGATGGCAAAACGGTGGAAAATCAGACGGGATCGGGCTCCGATCCGGTCGAAATAATTCCCCTCATGCCGAACTTAAAGCTGGAGATGCCGGAATATCTGGAGCAAGATGGTAGCAGTTGTAGTTATGAAGATCAGAGTATAGGCGACAATGCATTGAATAAAATCCCTATAGACGACACGTCGTCAACCACGCCTGATCACGAACAGAAGCTCGATATCAGTCAGACATTTTATACCAGTCAATCGGACAGTTTGGACAACAAACATCAATCAGATGTTGGTAAGTATCTTCGTATGTGATAATTTCTAGAATTGCCTGACATATTTTATTTATCTTGATAAGTTGTCAATTTTCAATTTTATCTTATTTATTTTGATTAATTGTGAGTTTCCGCACGATTTGATAATTTTTTTGTTTGTTAGGGCATCTACTATCTAAACCAAGTACTTCGGGAGAAAGAGCAACGCAGGATGCGGTACAGGGTAAGTGATCATCTATCCTTTTTTTATTATCTATAAATAATATGATATGTTGTTTTGCCATTACAACATAATTACAACATGGAATTGCAATAGATTCACACACAATGAATTATTAATTATATTTAATTATAGATTATTTAAATTATTCATTTAAATTAAAATTTGAAAATTAATATTGTTAATTTAAAAGCTATAATAAATTATTATGTAGTAAAATAAATTATTAAATCGCAAATTAGAGATTGTAATATTGGAGCAGCAAATTATTTTTATTTAAATTTAATGTTTAATCATCTATTATTATTCATGAAATTTACAAGTCATATAGTAACAGTAACATAGTATGATAGTATAATGGCAATACAACAAACTTTTAAGTTTTGTATCCACATGATCCACATTCTTATACGTTTGCAATCTTTTAATGTTTAAAAATATGCATCTACCTGATTCTTGAATAATAATACATAAGAAAATTTTATTAGTTTCAATTATAAACTGCTCTGTACACAAACCTGCATCCTAACTTCAGTGGTGATGGATTAATTGCATGTACTGTGGGTACAAAACCAAAAAAATAGTTTAAACATCTTGATATACATGAAACATTAGTATCGTAAGAGTTACTTTGTTTCATGGATTAAGATATTTTGTAATAATTATTATTTATTACAATAAGAAAGATGACAGAATTCTTTCCTATTGTGATATTATGATCTATTAAGTTTGAGGGGTAGTTAGTTGATTGCGTTTTCACATCAAACTGTACGGTTTGGTAGCTATGCAGCTTTGCATTACTATACACGCACACAAATGATAATTAGAGAAAGAAATTAGGGTTAAATCCAAAGACAATGACAGTGTAAGATTTACAGTGAAAATGTTTATTATTAATTTACAAAGAATATTACGAGTATTTGAAAACAAATATCTTAATTTTTAATCTTAGATCTTAATTTTTCTTTCGCGTGGACCTGGTTCTTACTAGCATGGCGAAACATGTATTTAAAGATTTGAATATCGACAGTCCAATATAAATCGTAATTTTATTTAAAGATAATTAAAAAATCGATAACGCTTTTTACAATTCTACAACAACTGTATTACATTTTATTCTATAATGTATAATATAATATATTGCTACTACAACTTCATTAGTTTTTGCAATACTGTGTAAAATACTGTCAATCGTTTTTTCTTTGACTCTTGATTACTCTTGCATTATTAAACGGAATCAGGTTTGCAATATTATGAGAAGATTTCTGAACATTAACGATAAATGTATGTACGATACATTCCCTGCTTTGTAACAGGGAAAAGACTACTTTTATTTCTATCTGATTATATTGAGATTTACCTTCAATGTACAGAGTGCATGGTGTTTTGGATGTAAATGTATGGTACAGGCACTCGGGCGTAGGTTGAACTGTAGATACTAGTAAGCATTGCCAAGTGCTGTATGTGTGCCGACAATCATCAACATTCCTTTTTTTTAATAACTCGATCAAAGCCACCACTATATTCCTTATGCGCACTAACTGTAAGCATATTTTTGTGTACATACTAAAATAAGAAATACCTTTCGATACTGGTTCAAGGTAACTTCATCGTAAAAATATTTAATTCGTGTGTATAACGCGAATCCCACTACATACACACATGGTTTATTTGCATGTAACGTTAATCTTAAATGTACCGGTATATTGATTTTTAAATGTTGAATGAAACAGTGCAAGTCAAATTTATAGAATTAGTATTTGCTGCAAGGTTTGGCGAAGCTTATTTTGGAAAATTTGATTAATATGATCGAATACAACATTTGAAAAACTCTTTGTATAACAATCAATTTTTTTAGTGAAATGCTCTAAAAAAAACTCTTTTAAATTTTGTTTCGATAATGAATATTTTCAGAAACTTTATATTTTATGAATAAGGAGAGCTTCGTCCAAATTTATTTTAATTAACAGCCCAAGATATTTAAATAATATCTCTAATTGATGATATTCCAACATAATTTTATCGTAATTATATAAGAATAAATTAGACAATAATATATATATAATATTTTATGTGAAAATTATTTCGGACATAATTGCGAATTTCGTGTATATATGTATATATCAACATATATATATATATATATATACTTTTTGAAGCATAAATTTCCTGCGATCGTAATGATCGCAGCATTCGGATTAGGATTCTATTAACTTGCAGAATGTATCATTATATAGATCGTGAGATATTCGCGCAAATATAAACTAATTCTGAAGCAGTCAGGTGGTGGTGGTGCTCTGGTGACAGTGGCATGCGCGTGCAATCTCTTTCCTTAATATTTGATAATTTAAGATCAATTCTTTCTCTTCTTGTATGAAGTAAAATTTTATATGGTAAATGGGTGCGTATGGGAAATACAGCGATCAATATTCGTTGCATTGATATTCCTTCGGAATCCGTCATTTCCGGCATTCTCTGATATTCCGATATTAGTATCCTAATAGGAAAATAGAGCTCTGAAAAGATTAATTCTGACAATAGATACTTTTACATGATTAAACAAGGAAACATTAAAGAAAATAAAAATATGGCATAATAAAATAAAATTGTATCAGTTACAAAGTTGTATCAAAGTATAATAGATATTTTCAGATTTTCAGTTCAGACGAACTACCGTTTATATTTATGGTTTTATTTTAAATACATATATTAGATATATATTTATACGAAAGAAGGTGAATGAAAAATAAATCTACGGGAATAATAGAAACTCATAGATTCGATTCATCATCTACAATAATTTTAAAATTTCTCTTTACATCTTATTGATAAAATACATAATTAAACACACACATAAGAAGAGAATTAATTATTTTTATATTTTATATTATGCTTGCATTATTACACTTTCTCATTTTATTACAACAGTTTAAGCTCATTGTCAATTAATTGTGTCTATACATATATTCGGATTAAAATTGAACGAAATGCATAAATCGAAAGCAATGACGGATTTTGGAAGATTATCGACTCATTTTTCCTCGAGAATCTCATGAGCCTGGGGATTGTAAACGTATTTTGACCCGACCCGAAGCTCTTTGGTTACAAGTATTATACATATGGCCGGAGAAAGACTAAAAGGAAAGACATAAAAGAAAAGAAAAAAATAAGTGTTTCGGCAGGTAGGTAATACAAGATCTCAGCAACGATCGCTAAAGCAGAAGCATGAGTTCTTTTCGTAGTCACGATGACATCAAAAAGCTTGTTCCTTCATTTCAAGTACTAATGTTATTATATAAAACATTAACGTCTCCGCGTAATGTGACCCGTTGCGTTTCGTTTCGAAGTCGATTCGTCACGTGGTCTTTTCGACTACTGATCTCGACTGTGAATCTACATATCTATGAACATGAAGCTGCGGACCGTATATTAATCGAACAATACGATACCTTGGATATGGAATATTTAATCAACCAATGTAACTTGATATTAAAAAGAACAACTTTCTTATATCTATCGCCATAACTAAGTCATGAGGTATTATACATTCATTGGGTTCACTTATCTTTATTTCGCGAAGAGATAGAAACCATTGGATAAATAGATCCAAATTAATTACAAAAGTTTTAGGACCATTATAGCTTGGGAGTAGGAGAACTGATGTTCTGTGGTTGAACACACAGTTGTTTCTTACTTCCAAGTGATTTCTGTTATTTCTTTATTTCCAAGATATTGAATTGTTCTTGAAAATCGTTTCGTCGACATGTGAGTGTCTTGTCGATAGTTTTGTGGCTGTTGCTATGGATCTGCGTTGTCGAAGTCACAATTCTAAATTGAAGAAAAAAATTAAAACAAACGTATCAAGAACGGACGATGAGTGCTTGTGTGGAAGTTTGCGTTTCGCATTTAGAAGAGTTGAACCAATTCGTAACTCATCCTATCACAAGACGACAACAATAAACCTAAGATAAGGTCATCTTTTTGTTCGCGACAAAAACGGATCTCGTCGGAATATCGATCTCTCGCAAATTGCGCAGCAGGAGGTCGACGAAGCCCACCGTCGAGAAACACGGGAGGCTGGATACGCGAGCGTCCTAAGCAATTACGTGCAATCAGCGTCCTAAGCAATTACGTGCAATCAACGTCCTCGTTTCAACGTCATCGATCGCACGAAAAAGACATTTTCCTCTTCGAACCGCAGAAGGTTTCGTTCTGATGGCCGATAGGCAGAGAAGGCAGTCTTCTTTGGAAGCTCCTGCGACGAACAATGAAATTAGATAGATCACTTGATCGACAGAAAAGGCAATCTAAATTATCTTATGATTATTTCCACCTTTGTACAATAATTTTGACGATAAATCTAAAAAAAACTGAAAGATTATTCAAGGAAACGAAGTTTACAGAGATGACCCGGAAGCGTTAATCTTCGTGCGTCCACGTGTCCTTGCATTGATCGAAGGAGAACTGATATAGCTCTGTTCAACGAACTATCTCGAGCAAATTTAGAATTGCTAGTCAATTAAATCGATGTATGGGGGACGTAAAGAAAAAAAAATCTTGTGTGAGTTCTTTTCTTAAAAGAGACACGGGGATAATACAGAAGTCTGCGCATTGAAATCTAACATGTAACGATACCACCGTATGCGCGAACGTGTTGTAATTCGCGCGATGTAACAATGATCGCGATGAGAAAGGCGCGTTTGATGATATAAATCGCCGATGAGATACTCACTCTGTAGAGACAGTTTTCGCTGCTGCGATTATGGGATTGTTGTGGTTGGTGCTGGGGATTGGTGGTGCTGCTGCTGCTGATACCGTTACGGTTTATTATGATATACGGAGAGGTGTCTTTAATTTTTTTCCATTATTGTATAACTATATAACTAATGATTGCCTGCATGCCCCTACCGCGCCTACTACTCTTAAGAAAACTGACTAACCCAACACAGTTCAACCGAGCATTGTGTTTGTTGTTGTTGTTGGCCACAACACTGTGTTTCTCT